AGGAGGAGAGAAATCAAGCCACACATACAAAATAAACCACCCCCAAAACAACAGAAAAAAATGTATGAATATTTGGAATTAAAATGATTAATTTTAATTTCATTTTTAAAAGAAAACTTCTTTAACCAGCATGATGCACCTTTGTAATAATTCATTTTACTTTCCTTAATTTAAAGAAAATAACTCCTCCCTTAACCTTACTTATCTAAAAAAGCCCCAAACACTTTAAAAGCAATCCTATATATGCTTATACTTATCAACATACTGTTGATGTGGGAAGCAACCGTCAGATTATTGTAGTATGCCTACACACCACACACACCTTTACAGAATATAGTAACCTCATAGATATTCGCTTCTATGTATTTCCTCTTTAATCCACCCGGTCCCTTTTTCTTTTGAAAGTTTTCACATACCTTAAGTTGTAGATGGCTGCTATTGCCTTGTTTTCCTGTGTTTCTTCCATGTTCTAGTGCATGAGGTAGGGCTGGAAGGGCCTTAACTCATCAGGTCTCTTAAGCACATTTCTTCTTTTACACATGTAAATACCCCCAGGTGCTGAATGGGAATGAAATAAAACAAGTGGAATGAAACTTTCAGCATGTACGTCTCCATTCTGTGGAGCAGGGATTTCCTGTACGGAGTTACAGACTTAACAATACGGAGAGAACTTATGTCTTACTTATTTGCTCATCTGTCTAAAAGTCTTCAGATGTCAAAACAAGGATTTAAAGCCTCTCCGAAAAGCATTAGTATTCAACTCCCAGAATCCTATATTGTAGGTTCAGCACTGAGCATTGCTGATCTCAGCAAGATTTTATGAGGTCTTTTTGGCAATCTGTACTGAATACACGTATACAGGGAAGCATTACTCAAGTAAAAAACCTAACATTCGTCAGCTCAGCATTGCAAACCAATAACACTGCAATTGTCATGTTTGCATGACCTCTCCGTATTTAGTTGACATGTAGATTGTTTCATTGTGACAGTCTTAAAGATAAATCTCTGTTATCAGTGAGTGGATATAAACTGTAAAAAAAGGTGGGCCACGGTCATCCCAATCTCATCATGCTGAAGCCTGGAGAGCATCATCCCAGATGTATTCAGATGTTATCTGTGGGATCTGAAGTTGTTGGGTTTTTTGCAAGAGCTGCACTGCCCAGTTCTTGTTTATCCTGTGCAAGTCAATAGTTCTTTATTTCATAAAAGAGTTCATCTACTTTTGTTACTTGGCTTTGAGAAGAGTCTTTAGTCTTTAGCAAGGGAGTGTGTTCCTGTTCTCAAGAACCCGTTGCCAAAGGAAACACTGACAAGAACATCAAGGCTCCAGAGGAACCACTTTTGCATTCATACATGTTTTGAACAAACAAGATTGTGTAGAGTAAGAGTTTGCAAGGTTTTAAGGTAAGTTTATTTCCAAATGAATGTTGACACAACAGAATAGAAAGTTTAAATACAATATTTATTGCAATTTATCCTTTTCAAGTCCTACATACAGGGTGTATTAAAAGCGTGCAATGTAACTGCATTATATATAGCATATATGAAAACTGTATCCCAAAATACTTTCCAGAGTATCTGGAATAAATCACAAAAGAATACTTATCATGGTACAAATGTAGTCATATAATTGACTTATATTGAATGCACTTTCTGGGACCTATCTATATGGCTTTTATTGATGTTTACAGAAATTTTACTAGTTTCTAATGTTATAGTACTAATGAACCCAATCTCAAATTGACAAAATTTATACTGAAGTGTTACAGTCTTTTCAGTCACATTTGTTACTATCTATGCTACTTTCCATTGCTGCTGATTTGACTGGAAAGCTCTACATTTTCATGTAACACAACTATATAAATACTGTTCCTCTCCTGTTCTTCAATTGCCAAATTTAGACCAGTGGTCCAATCAAATGATGGTCATCCAGCTCATTGCATGTCAAAATGCTCTTAAAATATAGCATAGACTCCAATCCTTATTTTGTTTAGGAAAAAAAATAGCATTTCATCAAACAGTCAAGACAGAGTTTATACAGAAAACTTTTACAGTAATAATTCAACACCTTGCCGCAGTCTTGGAAGTGTTAAGATGATCATAATTTTGCAACTCTGAGTTAAAATAGCTTGCAGTATTTTCAGAGGAGAGCCTCAGGAGTATATTAGAAGTAGAATGAACTTCCTTTTGAAGTCCGTGTCAAAACAGCATTTTGATACTTCATTCTGCCCTCCCCTACCATTCACTGAGCACCTCACAGTCAGCAGGTTCTGTTTTCTGAATTCTGGACAAAACCAGAGGGATAAAATATTTTTACTTATTTAAACTTGTCAGTTAATGTATTTTATGACGACATGCATTTCTTTTTATCTATAAATACCACCTTCATCCATCCATCTTAAGTTTGAAGGTAACTTTCACAAACCATGATTCAGAATTAAATTCCTGAAATATAGAGGGTCTATTTGGGCACAAAAAATGCTAAAAGGCATTATGTAATGAACTAAAGCTGCATCCTTAAAGGACATTAATATGGCCAGTTGGCATTAGTTTTTAGTGTCCTTCTCTTCAGACTGTCCAAGTATTTGCTGTTATCAGCCACTAGAGGGAGATACGATTACACAAGTACAAAGCTTATCCCTGAAATTTGAGGTGGGTCATGACCCATCATCTTTTGGGTTCATCAACATACACTTCCAATTTAAATGTTTTCTCATTTAGAGTTTCACTTCATTATCTTAGTTGTTCATAACCATAATTCATTTAGTTATTGATCAAATTAACTGTTATTTGGGAACTTTGTTCAGCAAACTCAGTCTCCCAAATTCACTCAAGCACCAAAACATCATCAACCAAAAATGCCCTATGCACGGTTAAGACTACAGCTTCTCCCCGTGTCAGCTGTTTCCATATCTTTGGTATTCAGGTACAAGACAAGTCCTTTGCTTTGCACAATGAGAGGGTGCTTTGTCTGAGGACTGGTTTTATAGCAAGCAGACTTCATTCTTGGGGACATTCTCTTCAAAGCCCCTTCCTTCTTTAGAGGTTTTGCACCGGTTCTCTGGGAGAAGCTATTTAAGCACATGTGTGGTAAGCCTGTTTACTAATGTGACAGCTAGAGGGTTTTCTTTGCCCTTTTGATATCTATGAGATCTTTTGCACTCCCCCATCACATGCAAAGTAAACAGTTTCCTTTTAGAGCTATTAAAACTAACAGTGTATTTTTTAATTATTCTTTTTAAAAGAAACATTGAGCAGCTGTTAATGTTTGCAGCTTCTATAGCAGTGAAGATTACAGGCTTCCTTCACACAGTAGATAATTTACCTTTTAGTTAATGGCTTTGATTGCAATTATTTCTTGAATTCCGTGCATAATACAATCCATAATATTGCATTTGACTTTTTAGAAAGAATGACCATTTTAAGTTCTCAGGAGTTGAACAGGTTGCGAGGAAAAAAATAGCTTATGTGCAAACAGAGGATGATCTGAGCACAAAAGCTGGAGAAGTTTGAGCTTCCCATTTTATTTTGTGTGTGCTTTTGATTATATCAAGCAATTCACGTTCCTGCAAGATACCTGTACCATATCAAAACAGTCTTCTTTATTTAGCAGTTAAACAGCACAGCTACAGAATAAACAAAGTTCTCTAACAAAATCAGAAACCCATGAAATAATGCAGGAATAAGATTTGATTATGAGGTCAATATTTTTATTTTAAATACAAATCTACTGAGTATACATAATTTTCACCAACAGTACTGAATTTAAGAACTTGCATTAGACTGGAGATACAAGCAATCACTTTGTGAAACCCTGTGGCAAGGTGAATACCTCCTGGGACTGACATTCAATGCAAGAACAATATTAATCATAGAAAACATAAGTAGTTTGTTTTCTGTAGCAGTTACTGTAATAAAAAAAAATGCCCTTCATTCATGTTAATAGAACTAGAAGAAAATATTCATAAGTCATTTTAGTTCACTAAGACTGGGAGATCAAAACAAGATGTAAAAAAATACCCTAGATATATATATTTAAATAAGTTCAGTACTAGATGCAGTCAATCCTGCTGGTACTTTGAAGTCAAGGGTAAGATTTTAAGTGCTTTGGAGAAGGGGAGGGGAGGAAAAAAAAAAAAGAGTACTCAAAAATCAAAATCCTGATTCAGGATTGCTATTGCTGCAGGAATTGCAGGGACTGCTGCAGGTTGCTGTAGGCAAAATTCTGTTTAATGAAAATTCCTTTATCTAATGGAAAAGTAAATTTAAAAACGTGACAGGGATTTTCCTACACAATTACAACTGAATGTATCACCAAGAGTTGCTCTATCCCATGGAATGAGGAAGTGCAAACAAGTGCCTCAGCCTAACAAAGCAAAATCCATTAGAATCTGCTCTATCGCTTACTGTTTTAAGCAACAAACATGACATTCATCTGCATGTGTTGAGGGAATTGTTTGAAATAGCCCAGTTGCATGTCTCCCTCCCAGCAAAAGAGTGCTGGTTACAAGTGAACTTCTTCCAGGTGAACAGAGCTGTCAACTATACCAGGTCTCTAGGACAGGTATGAACAGCCCTCATACTTTGTGCACGGACCCTCTGCCAGCATAGTTTCAGATACTGCTTCTAGTAGTATTGAAAATAAATATATTTAAGAGCTTCATTACACAAACAGTATTACAATACAACTGAAGAAAAAAAAACCTGTACAGCTACACAGCTCCTTCCTTACAGGCATTTGAAATGACACATTGCACTAGACAGCTTCTAAGGAAGCAATACTGACTGCTGCTTCACTCATCCTGCTTCTTCCATATCCCCCTCACAGTTAACGTCAGTAGTAACTTCAGATACGAAGTTACTAAAAAGCTCCTTTCAGGATAAATTTAGCAAGATTCCATGCTGCTGTTCTTCTCTATGACTTGGTAAAAATTTATCTAATCAAGCTGCAAAGGCGCAAGATATTTGATCGTATTTAGAAAGCATGTTGACTTGAATGCTCAAGATGTACTGTTCTTTGTGCTAAATTCCAACACTCTCTTGAATGGGGTGTATGTCCTCACTGGCCTTGCACTTTCAGGAGATCTTCTGTTCTCAGTACTGGTACTGTTAAGGAGACAAGAAAAAGCTTAGAGTTGACGTCAGAGTATCAGACAGCTGGGCTGGAAATGCCACGGCGATGAACTTGTGCCTTGTTATTGATATTGACAGGCTAAAAGTAAACTATTTGGTGTATTTGATATGTTCCATATCTCTTTTCTATAATGCCACAAAGAATACTTGATAAAAACTGTGGCAGATACTGAAAAGTTTATATGCAGGCAATCTGCTGGAGCACATACTGGAATGTCCAGCAATAGAGCTGCTAGGACTAAGGGTCCTGCAACAATAAAGACAGCAATATTACATTTAAGAACACAATTAATTGTGAAGAGTAATTCCATAAAATCTAAACTGCATAGAGATAAATCTCAAAAACAGGAAAAATATCAGATAAGTAGGGGCTGTAGTTACATCCAGAGGGGCCCCAGAGAGGACAACAAAGATAACTTTCTGTTGGCAACCTGAGTGAAAAACACTATTTTTGAGGTGTCAAAGCTCATGCCATTAAAATATGCTCTAGGCTGAACACTGAAATGAGTGTATTTTTAAATTGGGAAGGAAATTTTAGTTTGTATTGCAGCTTGCTGATTTTGTATGCTGATTTACATTCCTCAAACTAAATGATTCAATTTGCGGGGCAGTTAAGATGAACAAGTTTACTTGTTGGTAGTAAAAGTAATGTGCAATGGTCCTCCTTACCTTACTATTTTAGTTCCTGTTTTGCTCTTCCCTGCGGTGACTTGTTGAGGGGAAGATTCAAGTGCAAGTCAACATGCCAACAGACTACTCCAGAAGTCATTGAAGTACACTACACCTAGTAGATGTGCTCTTTTAAACTTGGGAAAATTTTGCAAAACTCCACAATCCACTCTAACAGTTTATTAGCACAATGGTTTACTAATACAGCACCAATAAGGGACATTATGAAGAAGTTTCCTATGAACAAGCAGAAGAAGTAAATACCTGTATGCAAGATCACATCCTACACCAGTATCTCTGGTTTCTATATTGGTCTTTGGTTGGTTTTCCATTAAGTAGTCCAATTTATCTTGTAATTCTTTATTCTGGAAAACAGTAATTTTCACCACAAGTTTATCTTATTTAAATTATGTTAATTAAACAAGGAAATTGCATATTGGCTTCTCCCCGCAAGAAATAATGTAAAAAAGTATTTATTGAGAAAATAAAGGAATCCTTACTTCTGAGAAAAAGAAAAAATTAAACCAACAGTTTTATTCAGAAGCTTCTGTTTTAAGTAATTATAATACTGTTATAAAATTGTATGTTAAGAAACTTAGCATGAATATTGAGACTTTGTATTACATACATTCCTCATGTGACTGGTGTCGTAAGTTTGATTTCCATACTGAAGAACAGCAAATACATAGAGTAAATATGCATCCAGATAACGTCAGGCGACATTGGTTCAAATTTTATTTGGTTTCATAAAATAATCACAATAATATAAACTTAAAAGGTAATGCCTTACCTCACATTCTAAGAAGGAGATTTTTTCTAAAAGCTGTATTATAAATAATTCCTTTTCTTTTACTTTCTTCCTTAGCATTTCAATCTGTGAAGAAAAATAAAACAAAGACATTTAGTCTAATGGGGATGGGAAGAGGAGGAAAAAGACCTAGATACCACAGGAAGAAAACGTTTAATTTTATTGTTCAGCAACAGTCGAATACCTACACATATTAATGAACTGCTTTAATCCACAGATTACCTATCATCCCATACAATCAGGATCGTTTATCTAAAGATGATACACATATACTAACACGGCTTTTAAGAATTTGTATTTTTCTGGAAAGAGAACAGAAACTCCAACATTGTCATGTAACAAAGCAAACTAGGGAAAACTCCATCTCTGATTCAAAGGCCTTTGCTCTAGTCAATTTTAACTACACCCAAAAATATGTTGCACATTTGCTAGTTTCTTGAAGGTCTTATTTGTTCAGTTATTTCCTGGCATACCAGACTCCTTGGAAAAAAAGTGCCTTTTCATTTTATAGCTAGGGAATGGAAAGCAGTTATTTGCAAATGTTCATGAAAATTAAAATAAAGTTACCTGCACCAGAAGCATTGCATCTTAACACTGTTCTATATGGAACAGAAGACAATCTTCTTTATATTCTGGAATTTCTGCTGGTTATAGAGCCATACAACAATAACTTCTGCATTAATAACAGCACAAGCAGGTATGACCCAGATTTCATACCAGTCCCTTGCTGCTGGCCCAAAGCTGTTCTGATTGTGTGGAAATGGCTTTCTAAAGATCCTAAAGCCACAGTTTTCCTTTTCCATTCTTCTGAAGCCTTTGCTTAAAGCAAGATTTGCTGTGTGAGGTTCATACTATTATCAGTGATAGCCTGAGACCTGTTGAGTGGCACAGAGGTCAGTTCCTTTCAGCTGACCACATGTAGGAGATAATAGCATCTAGTGCAAACAAACCGGATTTTCTCCTTGAACCAAAGGAAAAGTCACTTGTTATTCTCTCTCAACCCCTGCTGACTACACCTACTAAAATAGCGGCTAATAGAAAGAGCAAAACAAAGCAACAGCTACATAACAACTTCAGTTGTTACTGTTCAGGTTATTACTCACAGACAGCTGCAGACACACACCCCTTTACCAGCACCGAAGAGAAGGTGCTTCCTGTATCTGTACTTACAGTCTACTTCAGATGCAGAAAGCAGTGTTAAAAATATTTCTAAGGAGAATCATCAGAAGTGCACTGAAAGGTCAGTCTGAGGGAGAAAAGAGATTCTGCATCATGTTTGCATGCAGGTAGGTACTGGGAGAAGACGGATTTCCCACTGTGTTCTGTGCTTATGCAAGACTTGTCCTACAGCAACAGCAATGAAAGCTGATAGCAGTGGATACTCTTGTTGCTGTCAGTGTTAAATGCTGTCAGGTCAGTAATTTTTCCAATTAAATTTCAATCCACCTTTCTTGAACAAGCCATTTCAGGTCTGACGACATGAAAGTCAAAAACCCTATTTTCCGCCTATTAAGTCAATGGGAATGTGTCTCTCAGCTGAGGTGCGGCAACATCATTAGCTAAACCCCCTTCCCTGCTCCATGCCAGCTCTCTTTAACTAGGCAAAGCCCACCCAGCAACTTCTGCTTTACCAAACACTGCATTATCTAAGGCAATTGTCTCCACAACTCACTAAAGTAAATTAAAGATATAAAAAGTTTCTGATCTTAAGCCTGAAAGCAGAATCAGAAGAGTAAACCAAGCTAGTAAATGGATGGTCCACATCACAAATGGAATGCCAGAGTCTGCCATGCACTGCTTTTAGTAAAGTCTCTACTGCTGTATATATAAAAAAGTGCACCCCTTAAAGCTGTGTTAGATGAGGAAAGAAAGATATTCAAACTGCCATTACAGCACTAGAAAAGTGTGTATCCTGCACATTCCTTCACATTTTTGGGCAATATGCCAACAATGGGGATCTCTGCCTATAGCTTTTTTATCACAAGTTAGTTATAAAAGTACCTATGCATAATAAAAAATAGGTCTTTTCTATAAAACTTCACATTAACTGAGGTAGCTTTATTTTGTCAAGTTATTGATTGGCTGTGGGCTTCATTGATACAATTCTAAGGAAAAAAGTAAAAAGTATTTGTTAGTAAAAAATTTAGTCGACTTTTACTAAAGTGAGTTTATTTTGTAGAACAGCCAAAATAAAATCAAGGGAAGTTCAGAATACATTATTTTTCCTGGCAGCCATTATGTTACGTTGATAGGCAAGAAAGACCACTTCTAAATACTTGGGTCAAATTTTCCATGCACTCTCACCAGTCACTTTTTAACTCTATACCTTAAAAATCAATGTTGTGAAAGAACACTAACAAACCCCTTCAAAACTACCAGTGTAAAACTTCTCAGCATGTCTGGAAACAATGATTAGTAGAAATATTCACATCCTGCTAAAAGAGAATAATAAAATACTCAAAGCTACAATAATCAAAACAACAGTAGTACTCTCACCCTCCCAAAAATTTACTCCTAGGTATTATAAAACATTTCAACCAAAACATACGGAATTATGAAAAAAATGAAGCAAAACAAATGCATAAATTAAACCAAAAAATAAGAAGTTATAAAACCAACTCAACTTTAATTTAGTCTTCATGATCTTCAGTTATCTCATCTCATTAACACAATGATCAGTTATTACTTGGAAAAGCTAAAGTGTAAACTCCATACAGTAAGTGTTTTCAGCTGAACAGTTACAGAATATGAGTGCTATCATCATCCATCTTTCTCAAAATCAGGTATTTCCTTTTTTTTTTTTCTTTTACTTTAAAGTGCATGTAGAAACTATCCATGTCATCTAAAGCTATTATTGGTTCAGTTTTCAAATCACAGAAACACAAAGCTTGTAGCATTTTCAGAAAATCATAGAACATATTTTTTGATCTTCATGTCTAATTACAACTTTGTTTAACAGTATGACTAAATTAAGTCAGCTATATCTTCACTGGTTCAATAGCTTCAGTCCTGCCAATAAATTCCATTTCAGAAAAGATAAACTCTTCTTTTAGGACTTTCAAGTGGGTCTTCTCTATTAATATTCTGTTCTCCTATTATGCATACAAGGAAATAATTTTAACACCAGTAATCAGTATGACACAAAGACGACTGAAGCCAAGCACAGCTATGTGATCAGAGGAGGGGTTTGCCCTGACAGATATCCGTTCTTGTTATTAAAGATAATATATCTCGTCAGCTGCCTGTTCTGGTTTTTACATCAAACACAAAATATTTCTGTTTCCAAATAAGTGATCGAATTATCTATTATCCAAAAGCAAGACCAAACTCTTGTGTTTCATAGCCATTTACCTTCAGTTATATTCACTCTATGATACAGATGCTCTAAGACGTGAAATAAACTGTGACAACTAACCATTATGTTTACCAGTATTATGTACAAATAGATATAGCATAAGTTAAAATTAAACTTATATTTGTTTATTCTTCACATTGATTACAGAGACACAAAATTCCTAAGGATGTTTTTGAGTTATTTTAACTAGAGTACTCTGAAGGCAAAAATGAGCATGGACTAAAAATCTAACCGAGAATACAAAGAGGAAGACCTTGGCAAACAGCTTCCTCCCCAAACACAAACCTGAACTCCACAAAGACATTGTGTAATGTGGCAGGAATATTACTGCTTTTACTTTTCTCTGTGTGTGTGTGTGTGTGTGTGTGAGAATCCCGGAAAGACTGGCAGACTGAACACAGCATTCCCCGCCTCATTTTAACACATTTACATAGACCCCATTAAATCAATCTGCTTTGTCCCGCTGAAGGATTCTGCCAGAATTTTACAACACGCCTTCTCTTCTACAGTATGGAGAAGGGACAATGTGGTACTATATCATCATGCACACAAAGTCTTAGTCTAGCAGTAAAATAGAATGGAAGGGATTAGACCATGCAGATCACAGATACGATAAGGCTGAGAATTGGGTAACTTGTACAAGACTTTTCGGTGGCTCTTTAGAACATTACGAACTCAAAGACACAGCCACGCAGACCAAACACATTCCAGGAGAAATAAACTCAGCAGTGGCTAAAAATGAGAGAGGCTGTTTCAGCACCAGGAAAAATGTCCTGCAGTCTGCGCTCCGCATATGCAGCAGAGCTACCCTTTGAGGCCGCTGCAGAAGGAAAGCAGGGCCAGAATGTAGCAGGGCACCCCCGTATTACTTCATACAGGCATGCCGCACCCCCAGACACATGGCCAACTAGTTGTCTCAGCAGCTACTGCAGTCCAAGGGCTGAAACAACTTCCAAAGTTGTGACACGCCTTTAAACCTACCCACAGGCCTGACACAGATGACACATCCCACTGGAGCAGTTTACTACAAAAAGTTTATTTACTGAATAAGGACTTGAGTACACATCATCTTATGCCATTAGCACCAGGACTGAGAAAACCTGATTTGATTAACCCTGGAGTGGGTATGTCACAGGAAACCAGGAAAACCAGGAATAACTTTAGGGGATTATCTTAATATATTACATAAAATGCAACCTTAATTCAATACATTTATATAAGGCACACTGCATAAAGTAAAAGCGATGGCTTCCTTTGAGAGAGGAATGTAACAAGAACACCCGATCATAACGCTAATACTGGGTAAAAGCACTTCAAAAATAAAATTCATGCCTCGCTACTTAATGACATTTTGATTTTTCCATAAAAATGTTAGTTATGGCAAACTAAAATAAGACAATAACATTACAGCACCATAAACCTGTATTGCACAAACCCAAGTCTTGAGAGTGTCTTTGTTTCAAGGAGTTGCATAAAGCAAGAGAACAACTAGCAGGTGACAGAGCAATAGATTTTTACTTTTGGTTGAATATAAGGTAAGGAGAAGGAAAGGAGAAGCAAGACAGGTCAAACACCATCCTGAACTGAAGGCCCAACTGAAGGCCAGAATAGTCTAGGGTCAGAAACAAATCAGTGCTAGCCAAAGACTCTCACCTTCCACGGACTGACTCTTGGATCTGAGTCACTTCTGGACTGACTCCAGGACAAAATC